TCGCCAATGACCTGGACAAGTCCAAAAGCATCCATACATTGACTTAAAGGATTGTTAATATTAAATAAATTCCTATTTACATCACCTAAGATTAAAATATTATCATAACTAGTAACAATTGTTGGCAATAAGTTGTTTAAATGTTGAATAACATCTTTTAAATTTTTTTCTGGTGGTATGTACATAGTACCAACACAAAAAGAAATATTGTCTAGTTTAAAAGTGATCCAAAGGTGTTCTAAGCAAGAAATATAAAAACAATAATCAAAAATTACAATCTTACTTTGAAAGCAAGTCCTAATAAATATACCTACCCCTCTGCCATGACGATTTCAGTTTTTTCGAAAGAATGAAAACCCAGGAATGTTGACATCAGAGTCAGGTATATCATCAGAAAGCCATGTTTCAGTTACGGCTAGTATGTCAAAATCCTAATCTTTAATAACAACCATCAAGTCAGCGATACTAGTTAAAATTGAACGCGTGTTAACTTGTCCGATTTTCAATTTATTAAATTGCAATTTTTTTTAACCATAGTTGATTTTTGATTGAAGGTGATAAATATAGTTTTTATAACGCTGTTGCTAGGTACACGCTAAAGTGTACACAAATCAGAAAATTATATACACCCGAAACGTCATATTGCTGTGGTGGGAGGTGTTTGTGTGAATGCGTCTTGTTTGTTTTCATTTACGCCGTGACTAGTAGTAGTATTTTATAAACCTTAGAAGCAAATTTCACATACATGAACAAATAATAATAATAATAATAATGCCGTGGCAACAAGAAAACGAAGCAACGACTTCTCGTAGGGTGGCGGCTTTGTCGCCACAAAAAAATTTCAATCCATACCTAGCTACGCCGACCGGCGTAAACACCAACGGCCTGCACACAGCTCACCTACTCTGTCAAGACGTTTCGCGTGTATAAAATTTTTTGAATTGCGTACAAGTTAGCGTGTACCTAGACACTGTGTTTTTATACACATATAAACACATATACACATATAAACGAGACATGCTTTGTCATTGGCGGAGTGGTTGGTATCAAATTTCGTTCTAAATTTGTTATTGTTACTGGTGCAATTAATGCATTTTCTATGAGTAGAGTTACATTGCTTGAAATCATGATCATTTGAACATTTATCAGTTGATGTGCATGTTTTTTCAGTATGACCGAAAGAGTGACATTTTTTACATTTTATGATTCTAAGGTGATCATTAACAAAGCATTTATTCCACCCTACATATAAAAACCCTTTAGCTATAATACATTTGCGTAAATTAGGTGTTGTTTCAAGAATTATATTGGATTTGTTATTAAAATTTAAAACTGTTACAATTTTTATTTCTTTGAAGCTAAAATTATCAATTAGATAATTTAATGTAAAGATTTCGTTCGAAAGATCATCATTAGGTTGTTTGTCGTTTAGATTTACATCTTTTAGTAAAAGACGTGGATTAAATTTATTTATCTGTTCCACACTGTATTTCGGACCTAAAGCATTATTAACACAAGATTTTAATTTTTTTAAGGAATCATCATTTTCGCAATTCATTATTATTCCACCTCTAACTTTTTTAATACTGTCGATACAGATATTTTTGCCACCAGGATGAATAGCTTATGAATGTCCTTTAAAACATCATCATTGTTAATTGAGGATCCTTGGGATTTTATCACTAAACCGGGTTTGTTGATGTATTTTTAAGCGCACTACTATAGGATGCTAGTTGGTTTTGACTATTAGAAGAAATATTTGTACTCAATCCAGATCCAGAATTATTAGAATTAATTATCATACCCAGTTTTTCTTTTAAGAGCTCATTGCTGCATTTTAACTCACTGTTTAGGAAGATTAATAAACTATTTTCACGTTTCAGAGATTCGTATTCAGTTTTTTCGGGTACAACGCCTACCCGTTTTTGCGCAAAAGAACTTTGCAATCATCGCAGAACCAAAATCGCTATCACTTCTGTTGATAAATTTTAAACAATCATCTTTTACACGTACACAGTGTGAATGAAAATACTTTTTACAACTAAAACACTGTATTTTACTAGTTTTCACAACAAAATTGTCGAAGCAACGGTCACTTATGACCACGTCGCCCGCCATCTAGGGTAATAACTATTTTGTTAACTGTGCTGTACATAAAATACAATGAGAAATGTCATTACATTTTTCATATTAATGTTTTAATTAGTAAAATGTTCATTTTAATAAATTATAATGCTTATTTCACTAACAGGGCGCACTTCATTTTACAAACCCTCCTAGTACATAATTATTGTTTACTTACCGCAATAACTTTAAACAGCTGTGTATCGGGAACTATCAGGTGTAAGTTGACATAATTGGCCTCATTTTCTTAGGAATTTAATGGACTTTAATAACTAAAAAAAGTAATTTTTCCAATAAGCCCACTCCTCAGGGGTAAAAATTGCCGAAAACTAAAAAAAAGTAATACTCCTTTTTTTGATATTTTGCAAACTTTTAAATAGCCGCATCTTATAAACTATTTGGCCTACCAAAACCAAATTATTCTCATTTCATTGCAAATTTAGTCTACTTAAAAAGTGTGCATAGAAACTTTTACCGTAACACAGGTCCTTGGTGGTAAAAATTGACAAAACTAAAAAAAGTCCTAAAATTTAAAGAATTTTTTAGTATTTAACAATTATCCGAAAGGCTTTCGAGGTGGAAAATTTGGATTTGTCATTACCATCTCACCACTACCAACATATAAAAAATGTAATGTAATTTGATGTAAGGCAAAAAGTACCAATTCCATGGACTACTATGCCATATTTAATAGTTTTTTGACAAACTCATGGAACATGCGGTTGTACCATTTTTATATATTTTTTTAATATATCTACTGGCGAGCAATATTTGAAATATGACAATTATACAATATGAACAAAGTACTTAATAAAATATTGGTAATTTGATAAATAATTTTTTTTTAAATTGTATAACATAATTTTTTTATTTGCAGATTTCCGTTTTTCTAAATCAAGATCGAAACATATCGACGGACATTTTGGGAAAGACTTCGTGGTTTGTGAATTTTGTGGAAGATTCATGACAAAAATGAATTTTTCTCGGCACCAATTTATTCATTTAGTAAAAAATAGATCAAGAAAAGTTTCTCTAAAAATCAATGACGTTTCCAGCATACAGACACATTTAATAATTTACAATAATGAAAAACTATTTAAATGCGACATTTGTTTCAAAGGATTTAATCTAAAATCTAATTTACGAAAACATTTAATAATTCACAGTAATGAAGAATCATTTAAATGTGACATTTGTTCCAAGGGATTTAAACAAAAATTTAAATGTGATTTTTGTTCAAAAGGATTTAATCGCAAATCTAACTTACAACATTTAATAAATCACAGTAATGAAAAATCATTTAAATGTGACATTTGTTCAAAAGGATTTAATTACAAATCTGGCTTAAGGAAACATTTAATAATTCACAGTAATGAAATATCATTTAAATGTAACATTTGTTCCAAAGGACTTAAAAAATCTAGCTTACAAAAACATTTAAAAATTCACAGTAATAAAAAATCATTTAAATGTAATATTTGTTCCAAAGGATTTAATCATAAATCTAGCTTACAAAAACATTTAATAATTCACAGCAATGAAAAACCATTTAAATGTGACATTTGTTCAAAAGGATTTAATCGAAAATCTAACTTACAACAACATTTAATAAATCACAGTAATGAAAAACCATTTATATGTGACATTTGTTCAAAAGGATTTAATTACAAATCTGGCTTAAGGAAACATTTAATAATTCACAGTAATGAAAAATCATTTAAATGTGACATTTGTTCAAAAGGATTTAATTACAAATCTAGCCTACAACAACATTTATTAATTCACAGCAATAAAGAACCATTTAAATGTGACGTTTGTTCAAAAGAATTTAATCGCAAATCTAGCTTACAACAACATTTAATAATTCACAGCAATGAAAAACCATTTATATGTGACATTTGTTCAAAAGGATTTAATTACAAATGTGGCTTACAGAAACATTTAATAATTCACAATAATGAAAACATTTTTCTATAGATAATAATAATATAAGTAACTTTTATTTAAAAAAAAAATTTCCCACGTAAATAACATATTCCATAAAATATAAATACGGCCTTCCATAAAATATCCCCCAGATGTTCCAAAATCTAATCATGTCACCTCAGGCCGAAATAAAATTTAAGTTTAAAATTTAATGTTTTTTTCTTTATCCGTTTTTGAGTTTTCTTCAAAATTTGAAATTTACACATTTTGTCAAATATCTCGAATACGGTCCATTTTAGAGAAATTATGTATGGAATAAAAATTATAGATAATTATATTACAAACAACTTTTATTTACAGATACAGATAGGAAAGTAAACATTAATTAAAAATGTTACTTAATTAATTGAAATAAAAAACAATTTAAATGTGGATTTGATCCAGATCATTCGGTCGCAATAATCATATGACGCAACATTTTTAGTAATTATGCAGATCCATCAAGGTCACTAAATAGTCACTTGGTTTATTTTTCTGTATTTTACTTATTTACTAAGTTTTATTTTTGTTATCTATTGTTACGCCACTGTCGAGACTCCAAGTTCCCAACGCATCGAAGCGGCGTGAGACGGTATCGGAGTTAAGGCTAGTTCATGTAGTTGCGAATCGCGAATTGCGAATTGCGAAAGTCGTTCCCATTGGTCAATATCACAATAATGACAAGATGGAAATTTTGACAGACCGAAAGTTTAATTTCTTGCGAATTCGCATTATTCAAAATCTAGGGGGCGGGAATCTTGAAGCCGTTTTAATATTTTGCGAATATCGCACAAATTTTGTATGCACGCATGCGTAGTAGGGCTTATAAATAAATGCTTGTTAGTTTGTTGTAGATTTGTTTACAGATTCTTACCTTTATTTTTCGTTGTAATTTTGTAATATCCAGAACCATGAGCCAGAATATGGATATGTATGAAAGTGAAGAGGTATGGTACATTTACCTATATATTATTCTATAATTTAAAATGAAAAAAATTATACCTATATCTTTCTATAAAATACCTACTTCAGATCACTGATGCTTACATAAAATTGGTATATTGTTCATAATAAAATCATTTATTTTTGTGTTAGGTTGAATGTGCAGAGTGTGGGGCGGTTTTTGATATAGCGGATCATCAATATCATGAGTGTGACATAGCAGGAGCCAGCAAACAAAACATTTATACTGCCACCCAAAAAACATCGGAAGATACTAATGTGGCTAAATTTGCGGAAGCCATTCAGGCACGCCCTGCTCTTTGGGACCATACCTTGCCTCTCAAGGAAAGAGGCAAAGATATTAGGGAACATTTTTGGAGGGAGGTGTATGAGGAGATGGATGGGTTGATACCCCTAAATCAGATGGAGAAAAAATGGAAGAACCTTAAGGATACTTTCCTTAAACATTTAAAGTAAGTATACAACTAACTGGATTTAAGCAGAGTGAAGTAATTCAGGTAATTATTGAATATTAACTTTTTTAGAACATATAAGCCATCAGGAGCAGGGGCTGACGAGAAAAAAAAATGGAAGCACTACGACAGCCTCAGTTTTTTAACTGACATTAATTTGAACCGAGTAACATTTGGTAATTTTGCTCCAGTGGAAGCAGCTGTGAATGTGGATCTTTTGTCGCCAACATCCAGCACCTCAAGGTCACTACTGAGCAATTCCGACACACCATCCAGAATCAAGAGACAAAAAAAGAGTGGTGAGCATATTATGTTTACTGTCACTTATATAATAAGTTATGTAAAAACATATTTAGACATTTATTCTCATTTCAGATGAAACTGATCAAATGTTATTGGAAGTCTTAAAGCAGCCAACACCTAAGAAGGAAAATTTAACTACAATTAGTCCTGTATTGATGGCAGTACAGGAAGTTCTCAATAAATTACCAGAAAATGTTAGGATGAAGGCAGAAATAGATATATTAAATAAGGTGTATCAGCTACATGCTGAAAACCAAGTACTATAGTTTCTTTAATAAAATCATTTTTTTGCTAATCATATTTTATTAATCACCAACAATAAAAAATCTAATTATAGAGGAGGTAAGAACTATCTCTGTATACAAAAGTGTCTCTCAAAATGTCACATATGGTTACCCTAGTTTATATGTCAGAAAAAAAAACAAACATTGATACTTAATGCAATTTATTGTTAAAAATCCGCAATTTCAATTACACCTAGCAAGAAGAAATTGCAAGAAACTTGCTAGGGTTTACTTTATTATATCTCGATGGCTGGAAAGTAATCATAATTCTAATTTATTTAGACCACTGAACATCAAGTGGAGCTATGTCTAAAAAATAGTTAGTTAAATGGGAGCGCATAGTACTTGCTCTTTGGGCATATGCATTTCCTCCCATTCTTGGTACACTTTGCAATTTTTTCTGAATTGCAGTCCTCCATTCCCCTTCAATAACCTCCCCTGTTTCACTTTCTTTGTCTATATAATTGGGAGGACAGTATTTTGTGTTAACTGGCTTCTCTGCATCACGCTTTTTTAAAAAGTTATGCAAACAAATTAATGAGCCCACAATTTTTTCGATAGTTTCTAGTTTTGCTATAATTGGACGTTCTAATATCCTCCATTTAGCAACAAGAATGCCAAATGTATTTTCAATGATTCTTCTTGCACGACTTAATCTGTAATGGAAAATGTAATATGTATAATGCTTAACATACTTATTCTCTGAAATGTATAGTAGTTCACATTTACAATATAAGCTACAACTTACCTATAGTTAAAAATTCTTTCCTTTTGTTCAAGAAAACTTCCTGGATATGGCCTCATTAAATTGATGCTAAATGGAAATGCTGCATCAGCAACAAAACAGTATGACACTGGTTCACTTTCTTCCCAAAGCTTCCTTGGAGGAGGTAGTCCTAAAGTGTTTGTATAAAATCTTTGTCCAAAATTACTGGTTCTAAATATTCCACCATCACTTTGCCTTCCTTTTGCACCAATATCAACAGCAGTAAAACAATAATCAGAATCGCATATTGCTAATAGCACAATGCTAAAGTAATCTTTATAATTAAAAAAATCTGATCCAGTGTTGGAGGGAGCCTATAAACAAAATTGTAAGAAAGGCATACTTGAGTAAAAGTATTTTTGATGCTACCTGAATCCTAATATGTTTCCCATCAATTGCTCCAACACAATTTGGAAAGTTCCATTTTGCTTCAAAGCCATTTGCAATTTCTTTCCAAGCATCTTCTGTTGGAATTGGCAAACATTCTATATTTAAAACTTCCCAAATTGCGGAAGTAGTATCTTTGATAATATTAGATACAGTACTTACTCCCAACCTGTAGTTGTAGGAAATGCTTTTCATACTCACACCTGCTGCTAAGTATCTAAAATTATACGTCATTAAATTTTTTGCATATTAAATATAAGAACAATACTAATAATAAATTATTAAATAAAATTCGTAAATGTATTAAAATCATTTTAATATATACCTGAGAGTAGCTGATAACATTTCTCCTGGTGAAATGGGCTTTCTTGCAAAATATGCCTTACTGATAATAGGAGAAACTTTTCCTAATAGTACATCAAAATCTTCTGTTGACATCCTATGGTAATTTCTAAATTTTTTTCCATCTTTAAGGCGCATTTCCTTAACTAAATTGTGATATGCACCTTGTTGTTTTCTAAATTTAAATATTTCACAGGCGTCAACTGTCCTATTAACTCTATTACGGCGCCTTTTTAACAATAAATATGCAGCTATTGCTCGTCTTCTTCGCCAATAAAACAAATCCATTTCATGATCGTAATCATTCATTTTATTATAATATAACTTAACTTTATTTGGTTTGTCGGTGGCAGACTTACAAACCCAAAGTGTGGTTATGTATGTAATTTTCGTTTAGCAGCAATGCCAACTACTGAATATGATTAGTAAAAATAAATAAATATCCCAGAATCCTGTCAAAACATTCGCAGGTACATGAATTGACAAAAAAAAACCGATTTTTTTTTTGCGAATTTCGCTTTCGCAATTCGCGATTCGCATCTACATGAACTAGCCTTTAGGCGAACGACGGTACCAGCGAAGCGGCGAGGGAGAGCGGGAATTAGACATGGGTAACGCATGTAACGCACTAAAATTCTTTGCGTTGATACACTAACTCCGGCGCACTCTATTGCGTCAACTCATTGCGTTAACGCAATTGCGTTATTGCGTCACACCACTGCCTGCGCCGAATGAAGTGGATGCACCTCGGTGTATCGCATGATACCGGTGTTATTCAGGTTATAAGGGTCAAACCGTGTTCAAGGCAATATCGCAATTGGGAATTTAACTAAATTTTTTTTATTATATGTTTAAAAATAAACGAAAATATAACAGTGTAATGCACCCAGTTTTTTTATTTCATTGTATTCGGATTTTACGAAGAATACAAAAATTCCAATTTATACAGGGTGTATCTAAATAACACCGAAAAAATTAAAGGGGTGATTCTGTGATGAAAATTAATGTGAGTGTTTGGTATAAAATTTTTTGAAAAAACCCTCCCCGGAAAAGTTACACCCCTTCGAAAATTAAAAAAAAATGGTTTTTCTTTTTTATTTTCCCTGTATATCAAGCTAAAGACACGAAACTTTTATCTGTCAATAAAAGTACACTTTTTGCAATTTTTTCAACCCTGAAGTATGCTTAGAATGGGTTGAAATAATCAACCCCTAAGATATTTTTTCTTACAACTTTTTTTTAGATTAAAATTTTTTCTTTAAAAAAGTATGACTGAAAAGCCCAATTCATTGACTAACTTTTTTATCTCCACAAGTTTTTTTCGAGAAAAAAATAAATAAGCTCATGTAAAATAACATTTTATTAAACAACAGCCAACCAAATTATGATTCTTAAGACTTCTACAACTAAAAACAAAAGTGAACAAACAATGAACAAAAACCTGTCGAATATCGACAATACAATTATAATAAATGTTGAAAATGACCGCCTTCAGCTTCAATACAAGCATCTACCCTTTTCCTCATAGAATTGCGTATACGATGAAATATTCCTGGAGAATTTATTATAGTTTCACACCCTGCTACAATGCGGTTTCGCAGATCATCGATATTTTCAACTGGGTTTGTGTATATCAAAGATTTCAGATATCCCCATATGCAAAAATCCAAAGGATTAAGGTCAGGGGAGCTGGCTGGCCAGTTTACAGGTCCTCCTCGACCTATCCATTGATTGGCATACACCTCATCCAGGTGAGTTCTTGCACGTATACTAAAATGAGCTGGTGCACCATCGTGCATAAACCATAAATGTTGCCTAATTTGAATGGAACCTCTTCAAGAAGAACAGGTAATTCTTCAAGGAGATGACAATATGCTTCACCATTTAATCGTAGCGGAAGAAAATGGGGACCAATTAAATGATTATCAATAATTCCTAGCCACACGTTTAATGAAAATTGATACTGATGATTTCCTTCAAAAAAGCCATGAGGATTTTCGTCAGCCCAAAGGTGATTGTTGTGAACATTTCTAATACAGTCTCTTGAGAAACTCGCCTCGTCAGTAAATAAAATATTACCTAAGAACTGTGGTGCTTGGCCAATCATATTAATAAGCCACTGACAAAAAATCACACGGGGTAAAAAATCTCGAATCATTAACGCATGCACCCGTTGAAGATGATAGGGATACAACATTTGGTCTTTTAAAATTCTAAAAACAACGGAATGGCTTACATGTAGGACACGAGATATTCTCCTGGTACTAGTTTCTGGGAATTCTTCAATTGAATTAAGTACGGCTTCTTCTACAGCTGCAGTTCTAACTTCTCTAGTACGACCAGAATCATAACTTATTTTTTCAAAATTACCACGTTCCCGCAAGCGTCGGTGAATAGTTGTGAACGTAGTATGATGGGGTAGTCTACGCTGTGGGTACTGTTCAGCGTAAAGTCTTTGCGCTTCCAATGAATTACCGTTAGCACGACCGTATGTAAAATGCATATCTGCCATTTCCAAATTCGAATATGCATTCATATTTTCAATCAACTAATATTTCCTACAATACACAATCATAAAACTTGTGAAACAATAAGATGGGTAACAGAAAATGACACTACACAATCCTGGTATCAGTATTAATGTTTTTATGCAAAGCACAGGCCACTAGACTTGACGCAAAATACACTCGCGTTAGCTCATCTTTTTGAAAATGCATTGCATTAGATTTTTTCTCGTAAATGTTCAAGTTTTAGAAAAAACTTGTAGAGTTAAAAAAGTTAGTCAATGAATTGGGCTTTTCAGTCATACTTTTTTAAAGAAAAAATTTTCATCTAAAAAAAAGTTGTAAGAAAAAATATCTTAGGGGTTGATTATTTCAACCCCTTCTAAGCATACTTCAGGGTTGAAAAAATTTCAAAAAGTGTACTTTTATTGACAGATTATGTTTACCAAGTTTCGTGTCTTTAGCTTGATATACAGGGAAAATAAAAAAGAAAAACCATTATTTTTTTTAATTTTCGAAGGGGTGTAACTTTTCCGGGGAGGGTTTTTTCAAAAAATTTTATACCAAACACTCACATTAATTTTCATCACAGAATCACCCCTTTAATTTTTTCGGTGTTATTTAGATACACCCTGTATAAAAAGGATATATCTTTTGTATACTAGTAGCCAATCAAAATGGGAAGAACTAAAAACTGAACGTGTACAAGGTTAAAATCCATAAAATTCGACCTACAATCCTACAAATGATGTGACATGTTGCAATGAACATAATTACTTGATAGATTTTGGATAATCTGCATTACGAGTTGTATCAATTACGTAAATTAAAATTCTCAACTCGTCACGGAAAACGGAATCAGTGCCTGGCGCATGGCGCATCAACAACTCGCGATCCTTTCGACTCAATAGAGAGTTATTGCAAGTTCACTTAAGGTCAGTCACTATTAGTGCCGCTCTTATTTTGACATCTGAGCATGTGCAGATCACTATCTTTAATAAAGATTGTGTCTGTCGTTAATAGAGAGATATTGCAAATTTCTATAAAGCCAGCCACTAAACTTTAAATTATAGTTCATCTTTTTTTTGTCTATAATATTAAAGAGGCATTAGAAATTATAATTTTAGAAGG